TAGGCTGCTCATTTGTACTAGTTAAAAATGGATGATTCGGATAGTGGTTGCATGATAAAATTGAATGCCACTAATTATTCAATTTGGAAGCCCAGAATGGAAGACTACTTGTATTGTAGAGATTTGTTTGAACCTGTTCTAGGGGATAAAGGCAAACCAAGTGATATGAGTGATGAAAAATGGGCTAATATGCACAGGAAAACTGTTGGTAATATTAGAAAATGGATTGGTCAAACTATTTTTCAACATTTTGCTTATGACACCAGAGCTGATGTATTATGGAAAAAACTTGAGAATATGTATGAAAGGAAGACCGGTTTGAACAAAGCTTGTTGTCTAAAGCAGATTACTCGGATGAGATATAAGGATGAGGAAGATATGACTGAACACCTGAGTAATTTTCAGGGATTGATAAACCAGGCAACTACGTTAAATTTGAAATTGGATGATGAAGTGCAGGCGTTATTATTATTCAATTCACTACCGGATAGTTGGAAAACCATGGTGGTCTCCATCAGTAATTCAGCTCCGAATGGTGTGTTGACCATGGCTATTGCAAAAGAAGCCATGATGAATGAAGAATTCAGGAGGAAGGAACAAGGAATTGTCTATGAGTCCCAGGCCCTAGTGATAGAAAAGAAAGAAAGAAGATGGAGAAGCAAAAGTAGAGGACCCCACAATAGTAATGACAAATCCAAAAGCAAGTCTGAGTTGCGAAAAAATGTTGCATGCTATTATTGTAAAAAGAATGGACATTATATGGAGTGCAGAATCCTAAAACGGGATCAAGCTGAGAAAAAGGGTAAGGCGAAGGAAAAAGATGATGAAGACACTACAGTAGTTGTGGTAGTTCATGATGATATGTTTGTGTTCTGTGATGACGGTCAGGTGAATATTATTCATTATGACAGTGATTGGGTAGTTGATTCAGGTGCATCCTACCATGTTATTTCTCACAGGCATTGCTTCTCAACCTACTCCGAAGGAGATTTCGGATGTGTTAGGATGGGAAATGAGGTTTCATGCAAAGTTGTTGGCATGGAAGACATATACTTGGATACAGATACCGGGTACCAGCTGATATTGAGAAATGGTCGACATGTTCCTGATATTCGACTTAACCTTATTTTCACAGGAAAACTTGACGATGAGGGCTACTATAGCTCGCAAGGTGGAGGCAAATGAAAACTCAACAAAGGAAACCTCGTTGTTGCCAGAGGAAAGAAGCATAGTACCCTCTACGTGATGCAAGCCAAGTTGAGGAAGGGAGAAGTGAATGCAGTTCGTGATTCCTCGATTGACCTTTGGCATAAGCGACTTGGACACATGGGTGAAAAGGGGATTCAGATACTTGTTCGCAAACAGCTCCTACCTGAAGTTAGAGGTAATGCACTTAAACCTTGTGTTGACTGCATTTATAGGAAACAACACAGAGTTGTATTCAAAAATTTTCTTACATCTAGGAAATTGAATCCGTTAGAATTGGTGCACACTGATGTTTGTTATATGAAAGATAAGTCTCTTGGTAGTGCTATTTATTTTGTAACTTTTATTGATGACTTTGCTAGAAAGGTTTGGTGTTTTGCTTTAAAATCCAAAGATCAGGTTTTGGATGTGTTTAAAGATTTTCACAGTAAAGTTGAAAGAGAGACTGGCAAGTAGTTAACGTGTATTCGTGCTGATAATGGTGGCGAGTACAGAGGACTATTTGAAATCTACTGCAAGTCTCATGGAATCAGATTGGAGAAAACTGTACCAAAAACTCCTCAAGAGAATGGAGTAGCAGAGAGGATGAATAGATCCATTACTGAGCCGGTTAGATGTATGCTCTCTAATGCTAAACTACCAAAATCTTTTTGGGGTGAGGCAATGAGGACTGCAGTCGATTTGATCAATCTTTCCCCATCAGTTCCTCTAGATGGTGATATCCCAGAGAGGGTATGGAAAGGAAAAGATGTGTCCTTTAAACACTTGAGAGTTTTTGGTTGTCGGGTATTTGTTCATATTCCCAAAGATGAAAGGTCAAAACTTGATGTAAAATCAAAGCAGTGTATCTTCTTGGGTTATGGACATGAAGATTTTGGTTATAGATTGTACGATCCTATTGAGAAGAAGGTGATCAGGAGTAGAGATGTTGTCTTCTTTGAAATCAAGCTATTGAAAACATTGATAAAGGTGATAATTCAAAATATTCATATGACATTTCTGCTAGTTCAAATTCAGATCCAGATCCAATTCCAATACCTGTTGATTTTAATCAAGGGAGAGCTGAGACAGAGCAGAGAAAAGATATTAATGATGATGATAATCCTACTGCTAATGAACCTGAGCATAAGGCATCACCTACTCCACCACCATCACCACAAGATGAGTTTAGGAGATCTACCAGAGAGAAGAGACCTTCTAGCAGATATAATTCTCATAAATATATGTTGTTGACATATGGAGGAGAGCCAGAGTCCTACGGTGAGGCCCTAGAGCATGAGAATAAAGAAGACTGGTGCGAGCCATGCAAGAGGAAATGGTGTCCCTGCATGAGAATCATACTTATGATTTAGTAAAATTACCTAAGGGTAAGAGAGCTCTGAAGAACAAATGGGTTTACAGGTTGAAAACTCAGGAGCACACCTCACAACCAAAGTATAAAGCAAGATTGGTTGTGAAGGGATTTAGTCAAAAGAAGAGTATAGATTTTGAAGAAATCTTCTCTCTTATGGTAAAAATGTCATCAATTCGAGTTGTTCTTGGTATTGCAGCTAGTTTGAATTTGGAGATCGAGCAACTTGACGTGAAGACAGCCTTTCTGCATGATGACTTTGAAGAGGAGATCTACATGAAGCAACCGGAGGGGTTCAAAGAAAATGGCAAGGAAAATCTTGTATGCCGTCTCAAGAAGAGTTTGTATGCTTTGAAATAGGCACCGAGACAGTAGTATAAGAAGTTTGACTCCTTCATGACAGATCATGAGTACCACAGGACTACATCTGATCACTGTGTTTATGTGAAAAATTTTTCAAATGGTGATTTTGTTATTCTCTTGCTATATATTGATGATATGTTGATTGTTGGTCGTGATACTGTGAAAATTGATAGGTTGAAAAAGGAGTTAAGTAAATCCTTTGTAATGAAAGATTTGGGTCCGATTAGACAGATACTGTGGATGAAAATCTCACGTGACAGGCAAAATGGGAAGCTCTAGTTGTCTCAAGAAAAATACATTGAGAAAGTACTCAACAGATTTAACATGAGTAAGGCTAAGGAAGTCTCAACTCCACTTGCAGGTCACTTTAAACTGAACATCAAGCAGTGCCCTACAAGTAAGAAAGATAAAGAAGACATGAAGAAGATTCCTTATGCTTCGTCTGTTGGTAGCTTGATGTATGCTATGGTTTGCACCAGGCCAAATATTGCTCATGCAGTTGGAGTAGTCAGTCGGTATCTCTCTAATTCTGGTAAGGAGCATTGGAATGCTGTCAAATGGATTCTCAGGTATCTCAAAAGAATTCTTAGATTGTGTCTATGTTTCGGCAATGGTAAAACTGTGCTAGATGGATACACTGATGCAGATATGGCAGGTGATCTTGATAATAGGAAGTCCACATCTGGGTACTTGATGATTTTTGCAGGGGGAGCAGTGTCATGGCAAAGTAAGTTACAGAAATGCATCGCCCTTTCTAGTACAGAGGTAGAGTATATTACAACCACTGAAGTATGCAAGGAAACTCTTTGGTTGTAGAAATTTCTTCAAGAGTTGGGTATGAAACAAAAGAAGTATAGTCTCTATTGTGATAGTCAGAGTGCTATTCATTTGTGTAAAAACTTCACATTTCACTCTCGGTTCAAACATATTGATGTGAGATATCATTGGATTCGAGAAGTACTGGATTCCAACCTGTTGACACTTGAGAAGGTGTATACAAATGATAATGGAGTTGACATGTTTACTAAGGCATTGCCTAAAGAGAAACTCTTGTTTTACAGACAACAAGCAGGTTTGGTGGAGCCCCCCAAATAAGTTAGAGAGGGAGATTGTTGGGTGTGAGCCAGCCCATTTGTGGGCCAACCCACTTATGCAAATGCTTGAGAAACCCTCAGGCTTAAATACATATTGTGAGCAGCCGCAAGAAGCAATTTCACTTCTTCGGTCCTTGCATGCGAGAAAAAGTCAGCCGGCACTTTTGAGAGAACAACAAAGAGAGAGAAAGAGCTTGAGAGAGAGAGAATTTAAGGTCTTGATTGGAGAGTGATTTGGAACCCGATTGAGACTAAATTTTACACACGCGATCCTCTTGTCAAGCTCCACTCATCTACCGGTTCAGATTTCAGATTTCCTCTTCGTTTGATAACATTTTTCTAAACCTACTTCTTTGACAATTATAGTTTTGAGGGGTGATTTTATAACAGATTTGCTTGGTTAATATTTGTGCTATTATTGTCATCTGAATATTTCAGATAGACTTGTGTATTCCCATTATTGTGATAGTGGAGTTTTTTGACTGGACTAGCTTCCATGATTTTTCCCAATTTAGGTTTTTCACGTAAAAATCTTGGTGTCCTGTGCCTTTTATTTTTCTTGTATTTTATTATCACTGTTGGTATTATTACTTGGTGATTTGGTTTATTCCTATTTTAACTGGTACTTGGGGAAAGAGAAATTTATCTTGGGCTAACTCTGATATTGTGTGCCTGTACTGGTACCCCTTTCTCAACATATAACTATCCCAATTCTGTATTGACCATCAATAATAACACAAATAGTGCTAATAAAGCCAAGGTGGGCTCTGGAAGATTCAAAACTGGCGGCGGCTTAATCGAATTATTGGGATAACGACCCAAAGGAAAGAAAACTGCTAAAACATATTTTTAGGTCAGGCAAACATGGATAAGTTTTAGAGCATTTTCAGGTATATATACACAAATAATCAAGTGAAGTCAGGCACCAAAAGATATCTCTCTATATCATTTCAAATTTCCAGAATGGAACTCGAGTTTCTTCCTTTACCTTTGAGCTTCTCTAGTCTGCTTCTTCTCTTCTTGTTCCTATTTATGGTATCGAAGATTTTGACACAAATATATAACTTGGCTGGAAATCTTCCACCAGCTCCAATAAAGCTTCCTCTAATTAGGAACCTGCTCAACTTGATTGGTGGAGCTCCACACCATGTTCTCAGAGATTTGGCCAAAAAATATGGACCAATCATGCACCTTCAACTTGGTGAAGTTTCTACAGTGGTTGTATCTTCAGCCGAGATGGCGAAAGAGTTTCTAGTAACTCATGATCCAAGCTTTGCAGACAGGCGACCGTGACTAGCCACCGCTATCTTGTGCTATGATCTACAAGATCTTGCCTTTACTCCTTACGGCGATCACTGGAGGCAAATGCGTAAAATATGCCTGATGGTGCTTTTTGCGGCAAGAGAGTCCGATCATTCAGTTTTATTAGAAATGCTGAAATCGCAAAACTGATGGAATCAATTTGCTTTTCTTCAGGGGAAAGTGGTAAATATTACACATAAGTTTTTTGTGTATACAAGTTCAATGACCTGTAGAGCAGCTTTTGGGGGAATATTGAAGAACAATGAAACAATGATCGAGTTTTTGAAGAAGTCAGTCACCTTAGCGGGTGGCTTTGTTGCTGCTGATTTTTTCGCCTCCTTGAAAATACTTCCTATTATCAGCGGAATAAAAGGCGAATTGCTCACAATGCACCATAAAATAGATGCCATTCTAGATGATGTGACCAATCAGCACAAAGTGAACCATGAATCTGGAAAAAAGGGCAATGCTGAATCAGGAGATGAAGATCTCATTGACGTTCTTTTAAGACAACAGGAAAATGGAAGCCTTCAGATTCCCATCACAAGCAAAAATCAAAGCTGTACTTCGTACGTGGCAATACAGATTCTACATTATTACCTTCTTGCTTGTTTTCTTGTCATGTATTTGTAAATAATCTATTGCATACATGCAGGATATATTCAATACCGGAACAGACACTACATCAATAGTAACTGAATGGGCTATGTCAGAATTGATGAAGAATCCGAAGGTAATGGCCAAGGTACAAGCAGAAGTGAGACAAGTTTGCAAGGGAAAGAAGACCATTGAGGAGGAGGATATTCGAAAACTGACCTACCTGAAGATGGTGGTTAAAGAAATTCTAAGGCTGCATCCACCTGTTCCTTTAATCCCAAGATCAAACAAGGAAATTAAACCGCGATGTCAAAGGGTATATGATACCCCAAAAATCACAAATTCTTGTTAATGTCTGGGCAATGGGGAGAAATCCTATTTATTGGGATGATCCAGAAAGCTTCAAACCAGAGAGATTCGAGCAAAAATCAGTCGAGTACACTGGCTATCAGTTTGAATATATTCCATTTGGGATGGGCAAGAGGATGTGCCCAGCCATAACATTTGGTCTAGTCAATGTTGAGCTTCCCTTAGCTCATTTGCTCTACCATTTTGACTGGGGACTTCCTGATGGAATGAAGGTTGATGATCTAGACATGGATGAAAGTATTGGAATAACAGTAGGAAGGAAAAATGACCTTTACCTGGTTGCCACTGCATATTATCCTTCCTGGAATGAATGATGCTAGACAAGGAATTATTCATCTCGTGGGTAATAAGTTTGCTAAGGTTATAATTATATTCTAAAATTTCAGTTTTTCGATTACATTTGTCACGAGTTCCTAAAAAAAAAAAAGAATAAGCATTTCTCAAGAGTTCTTATGTGATTTAGTTGCCAGTTTCAATGCTGCAAGTGGTTGCTGATTGCATAAGGTGAAGATTGTCTATTGACCATAGTTTAATGATAAAGAAAGAGGTAAGATAGTGTCCTTTGTTAATTTAGATCGCATAAGGTGACTTAAGCCGTTGTTCTTTCTTGGTTGAAAACTTCAAAAATGATGACAAATAAACATGAAGAACAATGAAATTTGGAAAATGGATATCCTGCATTGTAGGAAAATCCTATGATGCAGATCTTTGTAATAACCTATTCGTTAAGTCACACTAAAATAATATAGCTTTTATCATTGTCTAGGTTTAAACTATGTATTCGTTCAAGTTTCATAAATTCAACATTGAATCTTGACTATATGTATGGAACATCACTAACTTTAAGAAACAATTTAGTACTTTGTTAGCAAATTAACAATTTCTTTAACAACGCTGATCACATTTTTAAGCAAACATTACTAAACCTACCTTTTTAGCAAGACTTGCCAATTTTTTGGAAGACAATCTTAGTAGTTTCTTAAGGAGACGTTCAAAATCATGTTAATTGACTTACAAATCCCAGGATCACAGAGTCCTACGACTCTTAACAGAAAAAAGTTATTCCTTTATTAGTAAAAAGTACCAATATTTTAGCAACACTTACCAATGTTTGATAAACTTTATTACATTTTGGCAAAACTTCTCATATTCTTAGCGGATTAATCAGTTTATTAAAAGGTTATTACTTTATTTAAGAACCTACCACAAAAATTTGCAATTGCTGATCCTCAATTACAAAAAATTCTATGAAATGCATTAGAAATTTTAGTCTTTTTTTAGTGTAGTCCCTAAATTGCAATGTCAAAGCAAATATAACTATTAATAATTGCCTCTCGACTGATACTCCTTCAAACAATCAATCTTCAAATTGAAAAAATGTTAGGGACCATTGCAACAATTTGTAATTTCATATTTCATTCCATTGCTTAGCATTCAAACTATTTTGTAGCCAAAATATTTTGTTATTTCTTAGAACCCAACAGCCTATACAGCTTAAGATGTTATGAAGCTACATGGGAACATATGTGTACGATACACCAACAACTGAACCAAAAGTAAGTCAAATTGAACAATGAAACTTGTGGTGGAGTAGTTCTAATTCTAAAATGTTTATCCCATTGTTGATTCTTATATTCAAGAGTTAGCCATGTAGCAATGATCCCAAGGAACTCTTTCTTTTGACACTCGATTTTCTCTGCTATTGAGTATGTATATTTCCAAAGTTAAGAGAAGTTTTGTGTAACTAGACCTTTTGGCGGAAGTGTAGGTAAATCAATGTTTGGATTGTAGTTTATTTGCTAATTTTAATTTGTTTGAATCATTAATATATTTTTCAATCATCTTTTTATCTGACTTACAACACATCAAAAAAGTCCTACAAAAAATTTTTTTAAAAAAAATTATCCCAAATAATATATTATTTAAACACACTCGATGTTGAGTATTTGCACTATAGTTAGAAAAACTACTTGGAGAGGGGCCTCACACTTCCCGTGAGGTTGCTCAAGTAGAACTGTTGATCGGTGGTAACTAAGCTTGTAATATCAACAGAGTAATTATGTCCACAAGTGTGCTAATGAATAAGCTGACTGTACTTGTAATGTATGTATATCATTTGTTACATGTATATGGATCAAATGACAAAGGACAATTTTCCTAACGAAGTTAGATGGCTAATAAATGAATGAAAATTGAGGCAACTGAAGAAAAAACAGAAAGGAAAAGGAAAAGAGGAATGCTGTAGTGCAAACTATGAAAGGAATTGCCAAATAAGGCCTGAGATTGATGTGTTGGAGGCCTTTGAATAGTTTTGCTAAATCAGAAAAAGGCAAATTTTCCAATAAGCTATATGGAAATTGTATGCAATCGAGCTTTGGTTAATCGAGAAATGAAATTAGTAGGCAAAATAGCATCCATCCAAAAACTGCAAGGCAACTACAAGGAACAGTCAACTGAACATTGGCTAAAATCAATTGGTGAAAATGCACTTCAAAAATAAGGGCAGAAGTTGAAAGTGAAAGGTGGAAACAGACCACAAAATGAGAGCAAAAAAGCTATATATTTACATAGGCTGATTGTTTCACGGCATTTGTATTTACATTGACATTTGGGGGATACATTGCTAATGAGGCTATCTGGATGTGCATCATTGATAATCACTACAAAAAATTTTACTTTCATTGTTATAGGAACTGGTATTTATAAAGTCAGTACCAGTGGTTGGTAAAAATGAGTTTTATGTAGTGCTTGGTTTACTCAGTTTTGGGGTGTTTTTGAGCGTTGTGGTGATCTTTTTCTACGTTTCTCTTCAGGCGTCTGGTGCTTGGCTCTGATATGTTGCATGAAGCTAGGAGAGTTATTGGCTTATTGCTGTTAAGGTTGAGGTTTGGTGTGAAAGCAATCAAAATTGAGCTGCAAATTCCATTTCTTTTTGGAAATCAAAAAGCAATCAAAATTGGTGCAATTTTATCTAACCCATTTCATGGTTACTACGTTTGTGGACAGCTAGGCCTATGTGCTCACTTTTCCAATGGTGGGATAGATAAATCTTCCTAATCGGACGACTAAAACAGGAACAACGAGACACGTACCACTGTTTTAACCAAACCGAAATTTGACCAACCGCAAAAAGAAATGAAAGCCACTTCAATTTCTGTACTCTATTCCATTGAAACCAAGGGCGAGAAAGGGACAGAAGCATGGTTCCAAATGGAAGACCGGCACTGGACTTCAGAAGGGACATTGGGTGGACATCTTCTGAAGTTTCTTCAAATTTCACATTAGTCAATGATTGGCGCCGGACTTCATGAAGGACATTGTGTAGGACTTTATCGGATTTCTAAGCGGACTCAGATTTATTCAGTTTTCAAAAACCTAATCCTTCTATATCTTAACTTAGAATTTTAGGATAATATAAATAGGAGATATTAGGACGTTTTTATTTTTTTTGGGGGGGGGGCGGGGGAAGAGGGGGAAACATTGTGCAATTCCTTAGCTCGTATCTTTTACATCTATCTCCAGGAGAGTTCGAGATGAAGGTGGACAAGGATGAAAGAGTAATACAGATGAAGATTAGAGTTGCTCAATTTGAGACGTTTTTATCCTTGTATTTCGTGAATTTTTGGTTTATTCATGACCATAGTGAACTAATTTATGTCTAGGATTAGGATTTTGTGAAAAAGTATTGGTTAATTATTATAGTTAAATTTTTTATTTTTTCGTTGATTTATCTATTTCATTTTTTAAATCTCATCCTTCCCTTGTAAAAAAAAAAAAAAAAAGAAGAAATTCTAGTTAGCGTAATCATTCTTTCCAGCATTTGAAATTGGTCATTGATTTTAAACCCGAATAAGTAGTCCCGTACACCATAATGGAACATCTTTATGAAGCAAGCGCTGTCAGTTAATGGAAATTTGCCGATTATGAGTAATAATGTCCATAATAATATGATCCAGATTAACTAATTGGCATAATAACTTGTTGGACAGAGCATGGTTGAAATTTGAAAGGGATACATTTCCAGTCAAAAATAGGTGAATTATGTTCTTTAGATGGATATTATGTCACTATTAGAGCTTATATTAACCAACACTAAGTTTCATCCAAATAATATCATATTAAGTCACTAGTTACGCGAACTGTCATAATCGTAACTAATAGACATGCAACTGGTTGAGCTTTCATGAGGGCAAGATTTCTTAACTGGAAAATGGTAAAGAAAAGAGTTGTCATGATCGAGGAGGTTTTAATCCAGCGACTAAAATTTGAACTTCAAAAATTAGAGATCATGATTTCAATTCTCCCTTTTTCCCCCTTATTTCGTAAATCTCATCACTTTCTAGCTAGAAAAGGAAAAAAAATCTAGTTCTATTATTGGGCCTGTTTGAAACCTCAAGTTTTTATCAAGTTTGTATAATACTAGTTTTTTAATAATTTTTGCTACAGGAATCCAAAAAACTTATCAAAGTTTTTAACCTACACACTTCAAAAATACACAAAAAAAACTTTCCCTTCAACTTTTCTTCTTTTCCTCCCCAACCCAACCCACCACATACTCCATCGCCGGCAGCCACCACCACCACCACTTCCGGTGCCGGTAACTATTCCGGCAGCCAGTTCCGGCCAAACTTTTTTTTTTCTCTCTCCCTCACCCCCTCTCCCCTCCCCTTTAACCGATTTGTTGGTGCTCTTTTTCTTTTTTTCTTTTTTTTTTCTTTCTCCCTCGCCTTTTCCACTTCGCCTCTGCCTTCCCCCCTGCGCCTCTGCCTTCCCCCAGCACCCTCCCCCTCCCGCTAGAAGCGATCTGGTCGCGCGACCAGATCGCAACCGCGCGACCAGATCGGAAAGTGAGGGAGGGAGAGTGGCTGCGATCTGGAGGGGGAGGGTGGAATGGGCAAAATATAAAGAGCAAGAGCAGTAGAAGGAATTAATGGGGATGTCCACCTAAAGAAGCGACAATGGGTGGGCAGTTCCAAGGAGAAAAAAGGAAGTTGCGCATGCACATGACTGAAGCATTGGCAGTCGGGCGGCGGGCCGGTGGGGGAGCGTAAGTACGGATGCGGCAAAAACCGGCGAAAGCATGGGGACCCATTTCCTTCTTCCTTTGACCGCAAACTAATCTTCCCTAACTTTTTTGTCCCTGGAGCTGGGATCATCATTTCTTATTCCTTTCTTTATAATTCAAATCTTCCATCGTGATCGTAATCC